TTGGATCTAGCGATTAATAGATCTTTTTGTGTTTTTAGATTTAGGAAAAATACAGCCAGAAAGATGATACTGGGAAAATTGTTGAAAATTGTTACTAATTTAGGACAAAACAAGTTGCAATTGATCAAATTAAGGTTGCATGGGTGGTTATGGCATTTGGTTCCTAATTTTGTTTCATCCGTAGTTTTAATATTGCATTTTGTCTCTGATATCAAAAAATAGCGAATCTCTTTTCAGTTTTCCTCGGGGACCACACTTACTTGCATTTTAGCTGATAATAATGCAATTATTTTGTTTGATTTTGATTATCAGGTAAGGAGGGAATTCACGTTTCTGTCTGTTTCATGAATGAACATTTTATGATACTATTAATTCGACTACAAATGATTGAAAGCTTGATAAGTGTGGTTCAAATGAATAATCAACAATGAATGCCTTTTGTTGAGCTCAGGTAAATGAGCTATGTTGCTTGGGTTTACTGATGTCGTCTTTTACATTCTGTTGCTCAGTTCCTTTGGCTATATTGCTCTGTTGCCTTGGCTTTGTGGGGTTTGGCTGTTATGTGGAGCTTGTGTAGCTCCTTGCCTATGGGTTTGTTGCTGTTTTGTTTTGAGCTTGTGTAGCTCATTGGCTTTGTGGGGTTTTGGCTGTTATTTGGAGCTTGTGTAGCTCCTTTGCCTTTCGGTTTTGAGCTGCCAGCAGGATTTTGAGCATGTGCAGGTCCTTCACTTGGGTTTGTTGAACACATTTGTTGAGCTTGATCTTGTTTTTGGCTTGTTTTGGGGTTTTGGCTTTTAGGTGGAGCTTTCGGTGGAACTAGCCGTTATTACAGTGTTGATACCTAAAAATTATCATTCTGAACCAAACTAGATATTAGGAATTGTAGGGTTTCTATAAAAAGTGAGATTCTATTTTTCCATTGGGTCTTGGGTTTGTTGAACACATTTGTTGAGCTTGATCTTGTTTTTGGCTTGTTTTGGGGTTTTGGCTTTTAGGTGGAGCTTTCGGTGGAACTAGCCGTTATTACAGTGTTGATCCCTAAAAATTATCATTCTGAACCAAACTAGATATTAGGAATTGTAGGGTTTCTATAAAAGTGAGATTCTATTTTTCCATTGGGTGAAACAAACATAGAATGTAAAAAAATAGGATTCCATAAAACTACAAACTTGTCTAGAAATTTTTTATAGATTAGGTTGGAATCCATAAAAAAAATAGGATTCCTAATCCTATTCTTACCCTCTATTGAACCAAACATGCCCAAAGTGAATACACCAAATACTTCGTACCACTCACCTGACACTTTAACTCAATGAATTAATAAATATTTAAATGGTTATAATTAGAAAATCGTGACAAAATGTTTATTTTGTCGTGGACACAAGAATCGAACTCAAGCCGCCTATATCAGGCAACATGACTTTGCCAAGTGACCTATTAGGCTGTCCCCATAACAAAATATTTTTAGTTAATATATAGAATGTTTTCCCGAGGTTGGGGTGGATAACTAATTTTGAAATAACTTTATGTTCTGGGCACTACTCATGCACAATCATTACGTCAAAGTACTTATGATTCGTTAAAATTGTTTCTTTATATTAAGCAGGTGGAAATAGCTATGTTAGATGCAATTATTTGTTGGTAAATATTTGTCTTGTTGGAGAGAGTTAATCTTTTACTTCGGAGGATGTAAACTGAGCATAGTATTAGTTATCTTATTTGTTATAATCATTTTTTTTTAATATTTCTTTCGATTTTCTTTATTTTCTATCTATAGGCCTAGTGTAATACAGTAATAGGCCTTACTGTTTCTTTTTTCAATAGTCTTCTCTTTGTTAATAGCCTAATAAAACTCAAATGTTTTCCCTTTTTACCAGATCTTTGTGTGCAAGCATGCATTATTGCACAGATTTTCCCACATCGGGTCCTTTAGGGGTCCAACTATTCACACTCCCAAACAGTAACTTTGGGGGTGTGTGAGGACTAAATTGCCCTTTTCCCAAACCAAACCAGGCCAAATCCATTCCAGAAACACCCTCAACATCAAAAGGGCATTTTCGGCAATCCAACTCCCAAAATTACTGTTCGGGAGTGGATATAGCAAACATGGTCCTTTAGATAGAAAGAACATATTTGGTTTAGTACTTTGACAAGTGTCATCCATGGTTTTCTTTTTGTATATTTTAAATGAAATGGACCATCTATTTGATTTAATAGCAAGCTCATCAGAGGACAAACTAAGAAAAATAGGTCCACATCTACCTACGGGGTGTTTGTTTCAACTTTTTTTGGGGATATAGGGTAGATTACAAATTCTAGGATGAAAAAATGAGTTTTTTTGAGTTTATGGATTCCATAACATTTGCTTGATTCAAAATAAATTTTGGGATATTGAATACCCAAATAATAAAAAACTATTATATTATAGCATTTGTGAAATCCCCTCTTTGAGAGAGGATTTAGGCTAGATTTCAAATTCTAAAATTTGTAATTCTACAATTTGAGTTTGAAACAAATAAAATACAAATTATAGGATTACATATCCCAAAATATTAATGAAACAAACAACATTTTAGAAATTTCAACCCATGTTAAAAAAAAACCTATAGATTTCAAATCCCATGATAAAATCTATATCCTAAAATTATAGGATTTGAAACAAACACCCCCTTATATCATATACTAGCAAATACTCGCCCAGTCGCCCCATGACGCGGAGCAAGTGGAGTCTTTAAACTGTGAAAAACGAACTTCTCCGAAATGATTTTACCTCAACAATCATAAAAAATTAAAAGGAAATTTAATAATATGTAAAAATTAATAACATTCAACAGTTTCAATAAGAATGTAATATAGAAGAAATTCTTAGTTAGCAAGTACGATGATTATGGTCGATTTTCTAAATTTATGTAATCAAGAAAATATAGTAGTTAAGACCCAAATGTATTGCATATTGTCTAAACTTATGACATGAAATGTTATATATAGAACTTGATGCCTAGATGACATGAAAAAAGTTCCCGAAGAATTGTAAAGTCCAATGGACAAATACAAATGATTACTCATAGCTATAATATCGAAGATACCTCAAATTTCAGTCTCAAAAGAGAATTAATTAATGGAGTTGATTTCCTATTGTAGAGATTGCGGAATATGAACTGACAGTCACTTTTCTTTCCAAGTTCATAAGATGTAAAAAACCGTAACCATGAATGCGCTATGGCTTAATTAGAGGTAGATAATTATCAAATTGCCCCTATTTGATAAATTAAAAAAATAACTCTCCACTTTAGTCCTTTTCCTTCTTGCTCTCTGTCCCAAAAACGAAGAATCTATCTCCCATTGTTCTCATAAAACTACATTTACCCATTACATTTCCTCAAATTACCTCCATAAAACACTACCGTAGAAGTAAAAGATCCATTTTAAGACAAAATAAATAATGTATTTTAGGTTTTCGTCGCAAATCCCACAAATATTGGCAAAGCTATAGGATTTATGTTAATCGGTTGGCCATTTCTTATCGTCTTGGCTCTAACATAAAACTTAATAGGAAAAAAACAATGTTATCCTACTTGTAGAGGATGCTCTTAGATTTCCGCATGCAGAAGCCAAAGAAAAATAAGCAAAAATAGAAATGACAAGAAAAGAAACATATATCTAATACATTTTTATGGATTTTGTGTAGTCTACTAATTAATCAAAGTTCAATATGGGGTTATTCTCAACTTCACCTTCTTTCATTATGATGGGGTTTTTAGCCATCAAATTATCTATGTTTGGGATTTGTAGTAATCAAATGTTATAAATCACATATATTGAAGATTAATAGAGGTGGATATTAATCTCCCTTTCGCTCCCTCCATGCACCCTGAATTAAAACAAGGAGGAAGTGGGGGAAAGTGGGTTTGTAGCAATCAAATCACATAAATTGAAGGTTTGAAGTTAACATTTACAATATTCCGCCAACATCCTCCTTTCCTAGTAAAATAAGAAAATTCTTAGTTGCTTCTCAATTCTCTTAAGTGCTTTGAATAATCTTTATTTCTAATCTTCTTGGAAGGAATGTCTTCAAATCACACCAAGTTATATCAACCTCGTGACCTCTAAATCTCTCTTTTCTTGTGTGTGACCTTTCATCTCACATTGCTGCTTGTCTCCGTCACACTAGAGTCACTAGACAAGTTGAACTAAACAATCCTAGATGTTGAAATATCAGGTCAAATCCATTCACTAGAGAGTACTTAGTAGCAATGGCTGATATGAATATATTCCTCAAATTGCTGAGGCGCATCAATGTATATCCACAAGCTAAAGTGTATTAAATTGCTAATGACCCTTTAATATGGATTATTAGCTTATTAACATTAATTAGCATATGATGATGTCAACTGTGTCTGGTGTCGGTGGAACCAAAAGCATTGTAAGAACAGTAATTGCACTAATTCACATGAACCATTTTACGTAATGATTAGGTTACATTACGCAGGCACAAAAAGAGTGGTGAAAGAAGAAAATAAATTCAAAGAAAAAAATAGCTCAAAAGATAAGCAAAGACAAATTGAATATGTTGGATTTAAATCTAATTAAATCTATTTTTGGGCACATATGTTATATCAGCGTGTGTTGCTATCTTTCAGTTGACACGCATAAAGAGATCAATCAGGTAATTGAGTCAATGAGTATTTAAATATGTCATGGACTAAATGTGCGGATACCAGGTTATAATTATAATTTGATGAGGTGTCAAATTATAAAAGTACAACAACTATAAATAAGGGGTTATGGTCCCTAATCTAGGGTAACACTCTCATTCTCTCCACCCCCATCTAAAAAAAATTTCAAAAGAGAGAATCATTAAGATTAGAAGATCATCAAAACCCAAATTTCAGATCCGTGCAATGGATTCAGGTATTGCTTCCGCTCATTGTTGTTTTTATTCTCTTTGAATTAACCATAGTTTTATGGATTAGATCTCAGATATTTAGATCTAACAGAATACTGCTAAAGTTCGATGTATGAAATGGATCAGCCAATACAAAAGAATGAATCATCATCATGCCTTGGCATGAAAATATGCCAAGAGTCCAACCATGGGTGCATTTATGTAAGTGGTGGGCTCTGATTGCGTAAACATAGATCTCAAGTCGAGGTACTGATCATCCTCGTCGGGTCCTCCCACGATGGCTCCAACTAACAAGTTAGGATTGGGTTGACTGCTCAAGTAGAATGGTGTTCCACCCTTGCAAGTGATCTTCTCAGGATGCACGTCCATAGATGGTAGAGAGGAAGCCCGATGGTGGATCCTCTGCGGAAACTTATCGCCATAACCTACCATATAGGACATTTGTAATGGGTTGTCACCAAGAATATAATCCACCTGCGACATAATGCATCATCATTAGCAAATTATTTGTTGAATAGTACTTCATATCAATTCGAAACTCTGTGCACTAGCAGCTAGCTTTTATTTCAATTAATATGTTCGATACCTTGCGCATTGTATAGTGAAAAGAATTGATATTAATTGATGCAAAAAAAAAAATTTCTAACACTTCAAAAATTTCCTCTAACTCACAATAATAGCGATGCAAAATAATAGCTAACCCTAAAGGTTTTTGCCCCCTTCTTTTCATTCTTTCTTTCTATATTTCTTTTATTTTTTATGGTTGGGATTATTGAGGATAAAATGAGAGAGAATAGCGATACACTATCATCCCTTAAAATAGAACATATCAATATCACTAGTAGAAATCAACAAATTTTTGATGGGCACATCACCAAAGGCCAAGGCTGTCTATTTGACCCTGAAATGAACCGTCCCAATAGGAAATTTCTAATTCTATGGGCCTTTCGATACAATCAAATAGATTGCCACAAGGACGTCATATTCTAGGAGCCCAAATTATGTGATTGAATAAATCATTGTTTAGCCAATTCAGCTCTTACTACATGATCATTCAAATCAAATTTCTTTGTTATTGGGATAGGTGAATTTTTATGGATCCATCCTTGAAAGGAACCGGACATGATAAATTTTCCATCATCCGGCTTGAGCAAAAATAAAAGGAACAACAGAAATAAAACCATAGAAAATCTAACCATGTACGTATTTGGTAGGGGCATTCTGAAATTATTGTAGGAAAGCTCCCCGCACTTACTTCACTCTAAAAAATCACCCCCTGAACAATCCCCGCACTTACTTCACTCTAAAAAAGAACAATTTTTCAAAACAGCCCTATTTAAATTTTTATTTTTCAAAATCGACCCTTTTTTTTTATTTACCAAAACCGATCCGTTTTTTTGATTAGCAGCCTAATCACCTTCCTAAATAGTCGGGGTTGCCAACCCCGACTATTTAGGATATAAATTTTCAGGGTTTAAGGCTTCTAATTGGGTTTAACACCCTCCTAAATAGTCGGGGTTGGCAACCCCGACTGTTTAGGAGGGTGATTAGGCTGCTAATCAAAAAACGGGTCGGTTTTGGTAAATAAAAAAAAAGGGTCGATTTTAAAAAATAAAAATCTGTTTGGGGCTGTTTTGAAAAATTGTTCCTCTAAAAATTCACCCCCTGAGCAAACACGCGCTCTCTCTCTCACACATTCTCTCTCGTTCCCATAGTCCGACCGTTCGAGATCCCACAAGCAGACCCAGACCTAGTTCGCGAGCCGGTGGTATCCGCCCGACGTGGCACCCACAGCTAGCCGCCGCCACCCACATTCGTACTAACTGGAGCCCGTAGCCGCCACCATTACTCCCATTTTTTAAGGTATGATTGTATAGTATTTTTCAGTTTTATTATGCGATATAATGATTTATTTTTTGCTTTTGTATTATTTTACCAAATAAAAAGCCTAATTGACCTTAACCCTAACCAAACCCCTAACTTTGAAAACCCTAATCTTGACGCTAAGAGCTCTCATCAAAATAATTCTAACCAAAATAATCCTCATCCTAACATTACCCTAAATCTAGAACCTTAACTGAACTAATGTTTAACCTTTATCTCACCAAAATAATCCTAGTACTAACCTTGACTACATTACCCATGTCTAGAACCCTAATTCACCTAACTTTAACCCAAAATCACATCAATCCTAACACTAATTAACTAATTTAACTTTAAATAACTCATGTCACGACCCTAATTACTTTAATTAAGCTAATCGACCCAAAATAATGCTAATACTAACCCGAATACTATTACCCTAATTAAACTAACTTTAACCCAAATTTACCCTTAATCCTAACCCTAATTGAACGAATTTTACTTTAATAATCCTAACTAACCCTAATAGTTGTTAGTAAAATAATCCCATCAAAGTATGCCTAAGCCTAATAATATTATATTACCCTAACTCCATAACCCTATTTGAACGAATTTTACTTTAATAATCCTAACTAACCGTAGTAGTTGTTAGTAAAATAATCCCATCAAAGTATGCCTAATCCTAATAATATTATATTACCCTAACTCCAGGTAGTTGTTAGTAAAATAATCCCATCAAAGTATGCCTAATCCTAATAATATTATATTACCCTAACTCCAGAACCCTAATTAAACAAACTTTAGTACAAAGTATGCCTAATCCTAATAATATTATATTACCCTAACTCCAGAACCCTAATTAAACAAACTTTAGTAGTAATAACAACTTAATTCCAACTCTAAATAAACTAGTTTAGCATTAATATCCCTAATCCTAACCCTAATTATATTACCCTAAGTTTTGGACTCTTATTAAACTATGTTTAACTTCTAATTACAATCTACCGTTAACCCTAATTAAACGAGCATTGAGTAAACTAAGGAAATAAAATAGTTATAATTCCTAAAACCAGTATAACTTGTTGCAAGCGACGACACGGAGTTGTGCAAAAAGGTGGCAGATGGATTTTTCTTTTTTCCATTTTTAGTGTGTGTAGTGGGGGTGGGGCGTTTGAGGTATGCCGGAATGAAAATGCATGTACCTAAAATATTCTTGTACAATCTAGAAATTTGCTTTGACTGTGGTGAGTCTATTTATAGCTAAACTTTCAAATAGTTTAGTCGCATTTGAATCAAGATGATATCCTTAGTATTGTTGTACTGAGGACTAGGAGATACAACTATTAGCAGTGGCGGATCCAGAAAATTTTCTTTGTGTGTGT